ATTGAAAACTCAGATTTGTGCACAAATCACCGTAAGCTCGATCTATCTATTGTTGAGGCTCTGATCGTTTGATCACCCTTCATTCTCTAGGCTGCTCCTCCTACGCAATAATGCTTGCGATAGGTTGCGACAACATTGGGTTATCGTCTTTTTGTTGTTGTTGTTCCGGTCGTTGACCCCGTGAGTATTTCCTGCTAGAGGCAGTACTCCTTACTCTATTTCAACATTTTCACCGAGCTTTGGACTTTTGTAAGTTTAGAAAAATGTCTTCTTCCCATAAGGCGACACCAATTGATAAATTTGAATACAATTTAGGTACTACTCCATCGATCAAGTAATTGGGATATTTGGAGATTTTTGTTGAGACAATATTCATAGAGAGTTTGAAGTATTTATTTCTTAGTTGTATAAATGATTAGATGGGATTCTTCAATGAAGGTATCCCCTTACTTATACATATTTTTTTATTCTCTCGGTCAGTTTATCTTCTTTTTTGTGGTTGTTGTCATCTTTTTTGTTTTCTTCTCGAAATCCTCGAATCGGTCGAGTTTTTTGGACTTTGGAGATCAGTCGGGCCGACTCGCGATCGTTGTTGATCATATGGGCCAAACGCAGGTTTCGTAACCACTGTGTGCTTAGCGCATCCATCCTCTTGGTTCAGGTTTGAATGCATTTTCGGATCGATTCGGGTTCACGTAGGATTTTAATTGAGTGCAACCCATCTCCAACAATATATATAGCATACATGTGTCAATCTAATCATTATTAATTAGTTTTGGAATTTAAAAAGTTAATATTTTAGATGATATTAGCACAACCAGTCTTAAAATCACACGTAAGAAAATAGCCATCATGTTAAGAAATCCGGATAAAAAATCGTACTTTGGAAATGAAAGTCGCTATGAGCCCCATTCATTACCGATTATTCAATTCTTTACATGGACGATTAATGTATAGAAGCGGTACGACGTGGAACTAACAACAAAAAAGGATAATATAGTATACTAGTTGATATTTCAACGTCAGATAAAGGGACGGTCTGTTGTTGACATTCTTCAAGCAGAAGGCTCTTAACAAATGAATTCACTATCACAAACGTCAACTTCCAAACTCATTTTTCTGTAAACTAATTATAACAAG